CTTGAGTACTCTTTGGTTCCTAGGTGCACTAATAGATCCCAAATCGAGCCTGTAACCCCGGCTTGTGCCCTGACTGGGAATCAAACCGTGACCTCCTGGTTCATGGTTCGATGCTCAACTACTGAGCCACATCGGCTGAGCTATTAAAATAGTTTTAAAAGACAAATCCAACAGTGGTTGAATGTCACCAGGGCACATGCTGGGGGTTGCAGGCTCGATCCCCAGTAGGGGGAGTGCAGAAGGCAGCCAGTTGATGATTCTCTCTCATCGTTGATGTTTCTCTCTCTCCTTTCCTCTCTCTGAAATCAATAAAAACTTATTTTTTAAGATTGTTTTTTTAAAAAAACTATTTTAATATCAGATGCTTAAGAACATTTTTTGAACATTCATTTTAACTGGCTAGAAAACTAATTAAATCATGAGGTTGTATAGAAGAAATGTTTCTAAAAGCTAGATCCAGTCAGATAGATCCCAGTGGGTTACATGGAATAACCTTTGCCTGGCATAGGAAAATATGTTAAGTACTAGAGGCCCAGTACACGAATTCATGCACCAGTGGGGTCCCTCGGCCTGGCCTGCGGGATCAGGCTGAAACTGGGCTCTCTGACATCCCCTGAGGGGTCCCAGGTTGCGAGAGGGCACAGGCCAGGCTGAGGGACCCCACCAGTGAGTGCATGATTGGGGCCGGGGAGGGACATGGGAGGTTAACCAGCCAGCGAGGGGCCACGGGAGGGCTCTAGGGCATATCCGGCCCGCCTCACTCAGTCCTGATCAGCCGGACCCCAGCAGCAAGCTGACCTACTGGTTGGTGGTCAGTGCACGTCATAGTGGCTACTCTATTGTCTGCCCCCTAGTGGTCAGTACACATCATAGCGAGTGGTTGAGTGGCCTTAGCATGTCATTAGCATATTACACTTTGATTGGTTGAACAGCCAACTGGACGATTTGTCACTTAGTATATAGGCTTTTATTATATAGGATAGAATGTTGCATTAACTAGCCCAGCTGGCATGGCTCAGTGGTCATTGAGCATCACCCTAGGATCAGGAGATCACGGCTCAATTCCCAGTCAGGGCATATGCCCGGGTTGCAGGCTTGATCCCCAGTAGGGGGCGTGCAGGAGGTAGCCGACCAATGATTCTCTCTCATCATTGGTGTTTCTTTCTCTCTCTCTCCCTTCCTCTCTGAAATCAATAAAAAAAATTTTTTTTAAATATTGCATTCACTAGGATGTACAGGCTTCCTGCTCTTTCAGAACTTTAAGCATTTTCATCATTTCCTTAATAGAAGAAGCTTAATAGAAGGAAATTTTTGTTAAAGTATGTATTTAAATAACCTTGCCTACGTTTTTTTTTTTAATATATTTTATTGATTTTTTACAGAGAGGAAGGGAGAGGGATAGAGAGTTAGAAATATCGATGAGAGAAAAACTTCAATCAGCTGCCTCCTGCACACCCCCCCACCGGGGATGTGCCCACAACCAAGGTACATGCCCTTGACCGGAATCGAACCTGGGACCCTTGAGTCAGCAGGCCGACGCTCTATCCACTGAGCCAAACCGGTTAGGGCACCTTGCCTACTTTTTTTCATTTCATATCTAAGGTTTATTATATTCCCAAAATTTATTAAGGGGCTTCCTTTGCCATTCTTCCTGCCCCATTCTTTTTTTCTCAGCTTACCCCCACTACATTAAAAAAAAATTTTATCTTGGAAGTGTGGTAAGAGAGAATATATAATCTAGTGTATTTGTTGTTAACCTTTGGTAATGTTCAGTCTCTATTCTTGTTTATTATAGTTGAAGACTATAAAATAAGGTCTAGAAGACTGGCAAGGGAGGCCAAAATGTTCTGTGTAAATGGCAACTTTTAACATATTATGGGAGCAGTAAAGTGAAATAGATACAATTCTTTGTGAATGTAATAAAAATTAATTTTTCAAAATACCTTTATATAAAGAATAGGATTGAGTGATTTGTTTGCTACATAGGAGAAAGTTGTTTTGCCTGCCTTTGCTTCAGAATAGTATCTTTGTCTCCAATAAGAATTTGAGCCCTAGTCAGTTTGGCTCAGTGGAATTCAATTGGCTCAGTGGGTCCCAGGTTCCATTCTGGTTAAGGTCACATGCCCGGGTTGCTGGCTTGGTCCCCAATGGGGAGTGTTCAGGAGGCAGCTAGCTGATCGGTGATTCTCATCATTGATGTTTCTATCTCTCTCTCCCTCTCACTTCCTCTCTCTAAAATCAATAAAAACATTTAAAAAATAAAATAAAAGGCAAAACAAAGCATTCATGAGAGAAGTAATTGCATTGAACATGTATCAGAACTCAAAACAACACCCAATGGATTATAAATGTCTTGATATTTTTAAGCATTTAAATTTTTTTGAGAACTGACAGTTCTCTATAGTAGTTTAGACGTTTTCGTATTCTTCAGTATTACAAAAAAAAAAGTTGTAGAGAGAACTGAAGAAGCTATTACTAATAGATATTAGTTAGAGATATTACTTATAATATTAGAAGAACAGATTTATCCCCAAAGCTCTAGTAGTGAGAATAAATGAGACTAAGTTCTCTGAGGATATGGATACTGCCAGTAAGTTATATAAAATAGTTGATGTGTTATAAACCAGTCTTATTTTGGAAAATGAAACATCTGAACCTCTGTTGATAGAAATAATTGGAGGAGGTAGGTATATTTTGGGTAGCTTTTGATTCTCTCGAATGTGAAGCAGTATAAAACTAAACCCCTCTTTTATATGAGTATATAAGAAGCAGATTAATACAGCTGCCTTCTTACAGAATATGCTCATTCCCTGAGGAACATCAGAAATCATGGCCAGGCCCTAGCTGGTTTAGCTCAGTTGATAGAGCATCAGACTGCGGACTTAAGGGTCCCAGGTTCGATTCCATTCAAGGGTACATGCCCGGGTTGTTAGCTCGGGAGGCAGCCAGTCAGTGATTCTCTCTCACCATTGATGTTTCTATCTCTCTCTCCCTCTCCCTTTCTCTCTGAATCAATAAAAAATATATATTTTTTAAAAATCACAGTCAGGCCCTGACCGGTTTGGCTCAGTGGATAGAACATCGGCCTGCGGACTCAAGGGTCCCAGGTTCGATTCTGGTCAAGGGCATGTACCTTGGTTGCGGGCACATACCCAGTGGGGAGTGTGCAGGAGGCAGTTGATCGATGTTTCTCTTTCACTGATGTTTCTAACTCTATCCCTCTCCCTTCCTCTCTGTAAAAAATCAATAAAATATATTTAAAAAAAAAAATCACAGTCAGGCCCTGACCGGTTTGGCTCAGTGGATAGAGCATCGGCTTGCTGACTCAAGGGTCCCAGGTTCGATTCCGGTCAAGGGCATGTACCTTGGTTGCAGGCACATCCCCAGTAGGGAGTGTGCAGGAGGCAGCTGATCGATGTTTCTCTCTCATCGATGTTTCTAACTCTCTATCCCTCTCCCTTCCTTTCTGTAAAAAATCAATAAAAATTTTTTTTTAAAAAAAAAATCACGGTCAGGATCCTTTATATACTGTTACCCATATGACTTCATGTTCCATCAGCAAAGAAGATGAGTAAGTTATAGCTTGTATGTGAGGCTTTAAAAATAATAATAAAAGCCTTTTGGTGACTTATAGGTGAGCTTTAACTCTTGACAACAGAAAGGGGAGAGTGAACATGGAGCCTTAAACCACTACTTTGTCACTCTTCCTTTGCTTTTTTATAGAGTACAACATTTATAGCTTTGAACATTTCAAGATTTATAGAATTCTTACTGGTTTCATGCAGAGCAGCAACATCATATCTCAGCCCCTGCTGCTGTTTACATCAGCAGCAATTAAAATTTGATTTCTTATCCCTCATTGCAGCCTCTCCTACTCCTCATTTTTCATTTTTGTAGAGCCTTAGGACTGATACAGCTGAGCATCGTGATGTTAACATCTCCTCAGCCATCTGGCACAGGGGAAGAGGCACCTGAACAGATTGTTCAGAACAAAAATCACATATGAGCAAGATCAAAATACTGTGAAATCTAAAAAGCAGGTGAAGAGAATCTGAATGATACCAAAGGTGAATGCAGAACCCAACAAGCTTCATTTTGCTGGGAAAAGATCTGCCTTTAGCTTTCTAGGAGAAATTCTTTTTTTTTTTTTTTTTCAAGTCCTTTAGTTGATCTCTTACCCCCCTACCTCCTGCCCCGCAACCCTCCCCGGCCTTCCTGCTGCAGTTTGACAATCTGTTTGAGGCAGCTCTGCCTCTAAAGGAGAAATTCTTAATAGTGGAATAATTCATATCTAACTAAACTTTTTCTAATTCCAGACTAGAGACTGTTAACTAAAGGAATCAGGAAAACACTGTAGCCTCCCCCCCCTCCCATCATTTTATATTCTTGATGTGTGAACCTGCTTTTAAAGAGATGCTTTGTTCATTCTTCTAGCTAAGAAAGCATGTTCCAGCCACTGCCACTGCTCATTTTGTCTGGGTTGAAGTATCATGGAGGTTTGTGTTGAGAGTAGTGGGCTCCCTATTTAAGAAACGGCATATTATCTTGATTCTTAATGCTAGGAATTTTCTGTATTGACTGTCGTCTATTTAGATTGTTCTTTAGTCTGAAATTATTTATAAGTATGATTATTCCTTTGTTCATTAGTCTTAACATTCTGAATTTGGTCTGCTTAGTGGCTATTGAAATTTTACTAATAGGGAAGCTAAAAGATGGTGATTTCAGCTTTTGATTTATTTATTTTTTCCTCCTTTGGTGATTTTTTTTTTTTTCTGTGACTGGGTGAGAATGGTGAGTTCAACTAGACTATCAATAGACTGTCATGTATTGACTTATTAGGCTGAAATGAATGTAGTCAAGCTAACTTTACCCCAGTGCTTTGCAGCAGTTGTTCATTTAAAATCCAAAACAAGAACACTAATGTACTTGATTTTGTTATTGCTTGCTGTTGCTTCACCTTTCCTTCCCTATTGCTCTCATGCTTCCTAATGCCTGAGCAGACTGCATCATCAGAGCGCCGAGGAGAGTGGGAAATCCAGCCCAGCCGGCAGACCAATACCTCGTACCTGACGTCTCACTTGGCTGCAGATCGCCATGGGGGATCAGTGCAGGTACTTACTGCCTTTATTGCCTTTCCCTGGCCTTCCTAGCTTGACTAGTAGAATGTTGGCTTGGTTCCTTTAGAATGGAAACTTACAGCAAGGTTGAGGGTGCTTGAATAGGTAACTGAATATCAGTGTACTGACTTTCTGCCTTTGTGGACTTTTAAGAGTCACTTGTTAAGATGATTGCTGGTTATTATCATTGACTAAGGAACGTCTATATGGTTTCTGATACTGATTTCTGCTTAAACTAGTTCTACAACTTTAATCCACTCATGATAAACCATAAAAATAAGGTCCAGGTAGAAGTTGTTTAGTGTCAAGTTGATGAAGTGTAAAGACTTGAAATGCATAAAGTTAAGTATTTTGGCGGTAGAGGACTGCATATGTAGCTCATTCTATGATAATATGTGCCTTAGTGCATAACCTGAGAATGTTAATAAGTCCAAGTCAGCTGTTTCTGAGTCAGTGCCCTCGCAGTTGGGCTATTTATTTTTCCTCCTGGAATACATGCGGTCTTGGAGAATTATTTCTGACTTCATTTGGACTATTTTGAATCTCTGTTCTCTCTAGTACTTAAGAAGTACTTGTATCTCTAACTTTTCTTATGTCACTGTATTAATAATCTTAACCAAATTGTTTTTCTCATATTAAGTGACACCACCAATTGGGGCACACAAATAAACCCAGAGCTACCAAATAGAAATTCTTATAGAGGGGTAGATAAACCTTTTGCACATAGAAATGCATCTTGATAGGCTTGATTGTCTAGAATATGCTTTTACATAGAGTTGAGTCACTAAAGTTAGGACACAGGAAATTAGGAGATAGCTTTGGCCCTCTTAAATCCTCATAGGAACATTTAGGTTAAAATGATGGATTAAACACACAGATCTACTCTCACTTCTCCTTAAACACACTAACAGAATGAAAAAGCAATTTTTAAAGGCATAAATTCATCTAAAACGGAGAAAACAGAAGAGGAGGCAACAGCAACAAAATGTTAGAAGCTGGAAGGCAGATGGGCAGTTATTAAATGGCTTAGGATTCTCAAGAAAACTGAATCCCGTGCCAGGAGAAGGGACAGCTGAGAACCTATTTACACTGGGGAAACCCCAGAAGGCTCAGAAGTTGGCCTTCTGTAAGGGGGAGGTGGGTGTGTGGAGGGGCATGTGCTAAAATAATGAAGACTGATTAAAAGTCAGTTTTAGAAGCCAGAGGTCCCTAGGTGCTCTTCTCCTCCCTCAGCAAAGACCAAATATGTATTCTTTTATGTTCTTCAAAGATTTATTCTTTAAAAAGGCAAATAAAGGGTCTCTGGATTAGGGGGTATGAGGCACATCTGGGGGCAGAATACCAGCCTGATAAAAAAAATGGAGATTAAATGAATGTATGCATACTGACTGCCTTATTTCCCCTTTGAGTCCTTCAGAATGCTGAGAGCCAGGTGTATACCTTCCAGGCAGGAGATTGAGTTGGCTCTGAGGAATCTGACCAGCCCAAAAGAAAATATCTGAGCATGTTAACAAAATGGTTTCCCTACTGAAATGGCCCAGCCAAGTCATTCTGCAGTGAGATCCATATTTTAGAAGTCCCACCCCTGTACTTAGAGTACCAGTTAACATTGCAATCTCCCACTTTTATATATGAGCAGACAATCAAGGATTATTCGACTTCTGAGGAAAGCCTTTAATGTGATATAGACCAAAGTAAACAAAAGCAAAAAAATAAAAAATAAAAAATAATATATATATATATATATTCCTTATTATTAATATCCTCAGAAACAGAAGATACTGCACCTGTGAAGCAAGGACAAGATGCTATGTTTAAAAGGAATATTCTCAGAGCAATAAAGAAAAAAAAAAGAGCTCTTGGAAATTAAAAACATAATAAACAAAAAACTTATACTCAATAGTTTGGAAGATGAAGTTGTGAGGAAGTCTCCCAGAAAGTAGAGCAAAGAGACAGAGAGGTGAAAATAGTACAAAACAATAAAAGATTTAAAGAGAGTCCAGGAAGTCCAATTTCTATATAGTGGGAGTTCCCAGAGGAGTAAAAACAGAGAAAGTGGAGGGGAGGAAATCATTAACAAAATAATTTCCCAGAATTCATAGACTTGTTTCCAGATCAAAGGGACCCACTGATTGCCCACCATAAATGTGTAACAGAACCATACCAAGGTACATCGTTGTGAAATTTCAGAACACCAAGGACAAAGAGAAAATCCTTCAAGCTTCCAGAAAGAGAAAACAGTCATATGCAGAGAAAGGATCAGGATTTAGTATAGCTTCAAATTTCTGAATCGCAGTACTGGAAACCAAAGAACGATGCCTTTAGAATTCTGAGGGAAAAATTATTTTCAACCTAGAATTCTGTACTCAGCCAAACTGTCAATCTGGTTAGAATATAGAATAAAGATGTTTGCAGAAATCTGTGGTCTCAAAAATTTTACTTCTCATGCACCCTTTTTTATAAAGCTACACAAGGATGTGTATTATGAAAATGAGTGAGTAGACCAAGAAAGAGGAATAAATACATGGGATCCAGGAAACAAGAGATCTAACACAGACCCAGCTGGTTTGGCTCAGTGGATAGAGTGTTGGTCTGTGGACCAAAGGGTCCCAGGTTCAATTCTGGTCAAGGGTACCTCAGTTTCAGGTTCCTCCCCTGCCCGGGCCCTGGCCAGGGCATGTGCAGGAGGCAATCAGTCAATGTGTTCTCTCACATCAATATTTCTATCTTTCCCTCTCTCTTCCACTCTCTCTAAAATCAATGGAAAAATATCCTCAGGTGGGGATTAAAAAATAAATCTATATATATAAAAGGCTAATATGTGAAGTGTCTGCTCATCTGACCAGTCGCTATGACACACACTGGGGGCAGACGCTCAAGGCAGGAGCTGCTGTGATGCGCACTGGTCATTTACAGAGAAACGGCACTGCGGACCTGGCACCCACAAAGCAACACTCGGCTTCCCCCAAGTGGGACACAGTCCCCACCACCATCCCAGAGCAACAGCCCACCAAATAGCAGCCAACACTGTCAAGACCCCATGGCACAAATTGCAGCCCCCAGCCCAGCCCAGCCTAGCCCGGAAACTGTGGACACCGGGTAATGAGTCATGTAGCAGCACTCGGCTTCCTCTCCTTAGCAACAGGCCATTTAACAATAAACGGCAGCATGGACCTGGCACCCACAAAGCAACACCCAGCTTCTCCCAAGTGGGACACAGGCCCCGCCATCACCCTGGAACAACACCCCACCAAATCGCAGCCAATGCTGCCGAGACCCCATGGCGCAAAATGCAGCCCACAGCCCAGCCCAGCCTGGAAATGGAGGCTGTGGGCACTGGCTAATGACGTTACGTACCAGTGCCCAGCTGCCTCTCCCTAGCGACTAGCCTCCCTGGAGTCTCTTCAGCCCAGGAACACAACTTGCTTTATAGCCAGGTGGAAACATTTTACACTTTAACCAAATGTCTGTGAAGCGTTTTCCCATGCCTCATCTCATTTAATCCTCATGGAAGTCCTGGAGTAGGTAGATAGGAGACTCAGTGGAATCCTATTTTCTTTTCATTAGCCAGAAAATGGAGATTTAGAAAGCTTAGAAACTTGACCCAACTGAAAAGAAGTAAGAAATGGTGGACCTTGAAAATGACTTCAGGTTTTCTCACACAGAATATAGTCAAAACACTGCTGCAGTTAGATATTTTACCCTTTGCTCTCCCTGCTCATCTGATCAATAATAATCTGCTTCATGTTGATACTTACTGCTGTGTTGCTGATAATTACCTGAAAGAGAAGTTGGGGTTCTTCACTGGGCTGGAAAAAGTTTAGCTAAATCAGAAAGCAGGCCTAATTAAGCAAGTTTATTCTATGTATATAAAAGGCTACGTTGACTTGTGCATGTGTGATAAATATAAAGCTCTCACTGGCGCCAATCGCACATGTGTGTTTTGATCTGTCATTGTCACTCATGAATTTGGTTGACACTTCTATTATAGAGAAAGGGCAAAGAGTGATATTAAAATAGTTCTTCTAATTAATTTCCTTTCAATGTGCACAAATTTGTGCACCGGGCCACTAGTAAATAAATAAAAATACTTGAGATGTGTATTTCACACTTAAGTCAACATTATAAAAAAATAAAAAGAGAGAGTGATCTAACACAGAAGAGAAGGGACTCACCAGTATAATGGTAAAGTCAGGAGGTCCCAGGATAGGATAGCCCAGGGGTGGGCAAACTTTTTGACTCGAGGGCCACAATGGGTTCTTAAACTGGACCTGAGGGCCGGAACAAAAGCATGGATAGAGTGTTTGTGTGAACTAATATAAATTCAAAGTAAACATCATTACATAAAAGGGTACGGTCTTTTTTTTCAATAGTTTTATTCATTTCAAACGGGCCGGATCCAGCCCGCAGGCTGTAGTTTGCCCAAGGCTGGGATAGCCTGTCCCAGACAAGGCTTTGTGAGCAGTTTTACCAAAACGATGAATCAGCCCTAGCCGACTTGGCTCAGTGGATAGAGCGTCAGCCTTTGGACTGAAGGGTCCCAGGTTCGATTCCAGCCAAGGGCACATGCCTGGGTTGCGGGCTCGATCCCCAGTGTGGGGTGTGCAGGAGGCAGCCGATCAATGATTCTCTCTCATCATTGATGTTTCGCTCTCTCCTTCTCCCTTCCTCTCTGAAATAAAGAAAGAAATATATATATATATATATATATATATTTTTTTTTTTTTTTTAAATGATGAATCGACTAGGATTCTATGTCAGAATATTTTGAAAGTAAGTGTTTAGATAAATGACAGCTTGGTTAGAATTAGTGATTAACAACTAATGTATAAAATCTAAGTAAAAATAAAATTTAAAAGATAACTTCAAGGAAAACAAATTATATAGGAATACTTTATAGCACAGTTGCAAATAGCTTTTAATAGTCATAACGCAAACACTAACAATTGATCTAATCAAAATTATAGGATAAATTATAATAGGAGAATAGATGG